CAGCGTGTTTTAAATATTTATATGTCAATATTATAGTAGGATATAATTGACATTAATAGATAGATGGGTGACCAAACAGGAATATTGGAAAGATTCACATAAAAAGGCATTTGCACTAATCAGACAACCGAGAGCAAGTTAATCAACAGAATTGGATTAATGCATTTACATCATCACAATGAATAGAAACATTCAAATTGATGAGCCAGCCAAGAATTCCAAAAATAGTGCAATCTGGGGCAGATACATGTAGATGAGCACAAGCGAACGTATCATATTTAGAATTTGCAAACAGTGCGCAATTGTTTACAAAGGAATCATTAGTTGGTTAAAATACCATAGTCACATGTTCGGTAAGATACCGTGTTACAAGATGAGCATTAAATTGTACCCATTTAAAGTGTGTTATATAACGCTACAGAAATTATTCACAGTGGGTAACTGTATACATTAATACAGACATGTTACATAAGGACTGAGCGGGACCACTGCGACATGCGCTTATGCAAGTCATTTGAGTTTTTGATTCGCACTAGTCATCTCTAAACCAGATGATGTCTACTGGTCAGTGAGCTGTCGTCTGACACGGGAATTAATAAGCATTTACTAACAGTAAGTCCAGTTTTGCGTTACCTTTAAAAAACAATCAGCTAACTTATTTTTTCTGAAGCATATTTCCCCTTACATCCCATAGTTTGAATTATAATCCCACATATTTAACAACTGTTGTGACAACCGTGTTCTAACCAAGTGATGATACCAAGTTTTATGGGGTAAATTTGCATTAGAGTTAGTTTCCGCGTGACGTAATTGCTAACATTTGCAGCACGATATCACTATTTTCGTTATCTCTTACAGTGTTAAATCTCATGTAAAATTGGTGATAATTGCTCACAAGTTATGTTCAAAAGTTGAAGCCTGAAGACCTTGTCTTTTTCTGGATATAAACCTGTTAAACTTATTAAGTATAAACTGTTTAAAACAGATTTTAACGTATCCCATATAACATAGACATTTTGCTAGGATGAAAAACGAAGGCCATGTGAGTTAAAATAGCTTGATTTTTAGGTGGTATAAGTTGTTTGTGCTCAGAAATAGAAAAAAAACCATTATCGTATCAATGTTGATACTGGTATTATCCTTAGTTTAAATTAAAAAGTTAGTTAGTGTACATGTCGGTATTCTGTCCATATGAATTCATTTCCACTTGCATTTGCATTAGTAAGCTAACTGAAGGAACAAAAGCATAAGCGTTGAGTGGAAGAAATACAATGAATGTTTCAGTTAGTTTATTAAGTTTAATATGGTTTATTTAGTTGTGGGGAGATTTGCTTGACCTCATCATTGTTTGACCGTGATAGGAATAATTAAACCTACAAATGCATATGAATGGTTATCAAAAATTCCTTCAGTACGTAAAAAGTGTAAATTTCAGATAGCTAGCAGTAATTCGTTAAATGTAAGTCTACGAGAGATATGCTCCAGATTCAGTGCTTTGATGTGTGATAAACCAATTATTTGTATTGATAATTACTGGTTGATGATATTTGCAATTCAGTTGCAAGCATCAAGTTTAGGATAATATAGAGGTCGATTTGTATGAACTCGAGTGAATATAAGGTGTTTAAATCAACTAAGCGTATGTGCCTTAAACATAGGTAACCTGATGATGTACGATGCTTACGGATCGTGACAAAATGATAAACGGTGAGCGATACTCATGGGATTATCAGGGAGAATAAAAGTTGTAACCAGGAGGAGTATAACTCCCTACACGTGTCTATAATAAAGACATAAACCTTTGTCAGTGTAGGGGTATAACCGACTGCGGTGTTTTGAGTTTGCAAGAAATTTGCTCAGGTGCCTATACTGATGATTCGCACAGATGATTCTGTCGCTAAACCTTACTTAGGCTGAAAATGTTCTAAGATGTCTATCAAATGAGAAACTGTTAGAGAAACACTGAAATGATCTATCACAGACAAAGATAACCTCGAGAAAACAACACTATTTAATTATAATCATAAGGCATCTGGAAACCATTTTGAGTTCGCGATAACCTGGTCTTAAATAGGTATTGTTGATTTAGGCGTTTCTGAGATACCAGATGTTAATGATAAAAATGAACCCAGCTAGCCGATTATATTACAAACTGAGCTCCAGAAATGTTAGTTTGCACAAACAGATAAATTGGTACTTCTGTCTACTAACCTCTACTCGTGCGTGTCGATGAGTGAATTCTGATGTTGTGGCACATCTGTATCAATAATTGGGATGAAAAAGTCTGCAACAATGAAGATCCAGTGAGTGGATTTGCGTAAACCCATGTTAAGGTACACATACCGCTTACCATATTTGGCGATCGGTTTCCCATTAGCTGTCTGTGAGTTGAAAACTACGTTGTGTAGTTGGCCGTTGGAATTTACTGAAAGAACGCGCGCTTCTATGCCAATGTAGACTAGGTAACGAACAGTCGTAATCGCATCAGTGGTATATAACAAACGGCTGTTTGCTAGTTACGGTTGTAGTTAGCGCGTTCCGGCTGGAAAGTTTCCCGACACGTTTCGGGTGTTGGATGGTCTGTAGCTTGGAAAACTTCAGGGTTTTCCTCAATATTGAGATTTTCCGTACTGATTATGATACCAGCACCATTCAGAGTTATCTGTCTCTCGCGATCTAGAGGCAGATCGTTTTCGTGAAGTACTCCTTTGAGGAGTTTGGGTGCATCCATGGTCATGGCGCTAGAGGTTCTGGTGATCTCTAGAATTCGGTTGGCAGATGCAGTCAGCTGGTCTACAGAGTTGTTTTAACGTGAAACAAACAGTGCCTGAACCTGATAGGTAAGCTTAGATAAAACACGTTGTCTAAAAAGGCCATCGTGAAAGATGCTTTGACCGATGACCTCTATCATCCATAACAACACGTCTGTTGCTGAGCTATGTTGTAGTTTGATGTTTTCGGGAAGTTGATCTAATCTATCTCGATCGGTTAGATCTTTGCATTTAAGAATTGCTAGATTTGAAGCAATCACGAGTTCACTTAATCTGAGAACGAGAACAAAGACTCGAAGAGCAAAGACCAAACAAGCTAGATATTCTGATGCGTCTCAGCTTCGCTAAATGGAGGAAGAAATTGAAGCTTAGAATGAAGAAGAATATTCTACAAACTGCCAGAAACGTGCAATAACAACAAACACAAATCAAAACGTATATATACGGCACAAAACCGTTCTTGGGCAGAGTTACCAAATAGCATACTAAAAGACACAACGGATCAATAGCATTTAAGATATTTCCCAAGTGGGAAATACGACACAAAGGCGACAAGAGCGCTTTTGGTGCAAAGACAAAGAAATTCAAATTTTGTAAATAAAATTACAAAATTAGGTCCTTTTCCAAGTGGGTTCTGGGGACCCCAACTAGAAAAGACTAGAACTGTGCAGGTGAGTCTTTCACGTTGTGCTCGTGGAAGTCAGCTTCTGAGTAGCAGAAGTTTGTTCGATCATGACAAATACAAAGTATCGCAATAAACGCGAAAAAGATCCAAAAATACTAAATAAAAAACATCACAATATGTAAAAGTCATAGTAAAAAATATATCAGAAGGAGTTTTGTGGAGATTGTAGTAATTAAATAGTCAAGATCACGAGTCAGTTGAAGCTTCATGAAGCTCATGATCCTAACCATTGAAATTACTACAATCTCCACAAAACTCCATCTGATAATAATCAACATATGCTCACTAGTGACTGGCTTCAAGAGGTATATCCTGTGTTTCTAGTGAGAAATGGTGACCAATGGAGTTCAACCAGGTCTGTTGTGAGATGTTAACTCACTGATGACAATGGTGAATAAGTCGCTCAATTTCATGGATTAGTTGGAGTTAGACGTTAATACCGTTGGATGCTAGCTCAGTGGTCTAGTGGTTAAGTGCTCGCGCGCGAAACCAATAGGTCCTGGGTTCGAATGTCACAGGGAGCGAGGTCTTGGATGCGCACTGCTAAGGAGTCCCACAATAGGACGAAATGGTTGCATAGTGCTTTCAGGTTTTCCATGGTGGTCTAGCTTCAATTGACTCATGATCGTAACCATTAATATATATATATTTCCAAAAAGGAACGGTTTCACAATTCACAAACTGATGTACCAGATCACGTCGGGCTCACCACTAAATATGACACAAGTATTCGAAGTTTGACAACACCTTAACCAACAACAACTTTAATAACCGTAATGTGCCTCCACAGTGAAATCAGAAGTCAGAAGAGAAGAAGCTTGAAGATTTATTTGGTAGGTTATCGATATATCTATAAGTGATCAATCTAAGCTGGCTAGCGGTTGTAGGGAAAGTTTCGTACAGCGTAACCACTCGTGATCTTGTGTGGATGCATGACTGAGAGCATTTAGCTAAGTGAGTCCATTAAAATTAATTTGGTCAGCATCAAATATCAAAGACCTACAGAACTTTTGATTTTGGTGATTTATTTACCACTACAATTTCTTACTATCCCGTTCATAATGTCAATTACCACTCAATCTAAGGTATTGTACACAGATTTAATTGTTCAAGTCACCCCGTGTGCAACAAGCACCATAATTCCAGTAGTTTGCGTAGAAATTCCCTCAGTAGTTTGCACCACACGTCTTATGTACTTTAAGGACAGGGCCTTGAAGCCTGTGTGCAGTTTGCAATTTGGGTTTCATCAGGGCAAAACGCCATTCTAACACCTATAGGACTCTAATTCCATTGTTAACTAGACAAGAGATATTTTTTGGGGAAAGGCACTTCTATTTTATCGACAACCAGTTGACCCATTTAAATACCAATCAAATCTGTCACGCTGATTATGACCGATCAGCTAAAATAACAATACTAAGCGTCTTCAAAAATCAATAACTAATTTTTCACACTAAATAAATCAGACAGACATAGACACCAACCCTTAAGAAAAATATTGTTTGGATGTTCCAATGAGTGGCCTTCGGAAATAGTGTCGTTCAAATTTACTTGTTGTAACCCCTTGGTGTCAGTTCTAGTTAAAGGTTTGCGCTAATGTCATACTCGTTCGTTATTAACCGCTCTCGATTGTTCTTATTAACGATTGAGTTTTTATTCTGTGTTCAGAATGAGTAATTGTTCTACATTTCTACACAATTTTATCCTCTCACCAGCATTATCATGACCTCCACTAAAACATATTTTTAGTTTAGCCCAATGCCTACCGACAACTAGTTTATAGGTCAAAGGAACAATTATCGTGTCAAACAGTCAAAAGAGCGGTGCTAATGGTTCTGTTTTGACTCAGTAACCTCATAAAAACTTTCAGAATTGTATAGTAAGGACAGAAGGCCTACGGCCTATGTTATTCCTTTTCTAGTATGCTTCTGTGAGTGTCCAGACCTCTCTTGAACGAGTCAATTGAGGGTGCGGACACCACTGCTTCGGGCAGCACGTTCCAAGTGTTGATGACTCGGTGTGAGAACCTGTATGCCACGGGTATTTTGTTCGTTCTTGGCTTTTCTACTCGCCTGCTATGTCCTCTGAGATGTCCCGATCTAGTGGGAAGAAAAAGAGAGTAAGTTAGGTCCAAAATCCTTTCTCAGTATTCTCTACATCAAAATTAAATCTTCCCTTAATCTGCGATAGGACAGTGTGAAGAGATCTAGCTTTTCAAGCCGCTTTTTGTATGGTAAACCCCGGATTTCTGGAATTGCACGGGTAGCTGCCCTCTGTACTTTTTCTAGGATATCCGAGTCACCTTTTAAACACGGGCTTGCGGCCTGAACGCAGTTCTCAAGCTTAGTTCTCACTAAGGACGTGTATACTTTGGTGAACATGATAGTATCTAGCTTAGTGAATGTCCGTTTTAATGCCCAGAGTGTTCGAAACCCCTTAGCTGCGACCTCCCGGCGATGGGTCATCGTCTTAAGATCCCGACTTACTGTCACCCCCAGATCCTTGTGAGACCGAACCACTGGTAATTGCACTTCCCCTATGTTATACCTATTAGCATTTGAGTTCCCGAAGTGCGTGTAGACACACTTTGCCGCGTTGATAGGCATCAGCCACTCTTTAGACCAGTTAATTATATTATTTAAATCTGCCTGAAGAGCTTCTGAGTCTGTCTCCAGTTATTACTCGCCAGATCTTTACATCGTCAGCGTATAATAACATTGGAGACTGTACTATACTTGGGAGATCATTGACATACATTATAAAAAATAAAGGACCTATGACGGAACCTTGAGGTACTCCACTAAGTACTGGTCTCCAGATGGAGCACTTGGAATTTATTCTTACCTCCTGTCTACGACCTACTAGGAAATCCTTAATCCATTTTAAGGGAGGTCCAGCAATACCAAGTTTTTCTAACTTCAATAGCAGTCTATTTGTTGGCACCTTGTCAAAAGCCTTACTGAAGTCTATGTAGACAACATCCACTGAGTTTCCGTTGTCTGGCGCCTTTATCCAAAATCTCATTGCTAAAAGGAGGTTTGTTGTACAGGATAGACGCTTTCTAAAACCATGTTGTTCTATGCTTAACAAGTTATTTGTTTCAATAAATTTCACTATTGTCCGTTTGACTATTCTTTCCAATATTTTAACTACAACGTTGGCTTACAGGTCTGTAGTTCGATGGAACTTGTCTTGGCCCTGTTTTATATATGGGAGTTACGATTGCGTCCTTCCAGTCCATAACTAACATGCCTTGATTAAGTGACATATTGAATATCACAGTCAATGGGGCCGTGATATATTGTGCAATATGTCTCAAGATTCTAGGGTGTAGTTCGTCTGGTCCTGTTGACTTTTCCATGTTTAAGGTTCTAAGAGCCTTAAGCACATCGTCTTGGTCGAAGTCCGCAGTGAGCAGGTGGTTTATTGACTCTTTATTTTTGTTTGATTCTTTGTCCAAAGGAGGTTGCTGAGTGAAAACTGCCCCAAAATAGTCAGCCATAGCCTCTGCTTTGTCCTGATCTTCCTCTATCATCTCAGATTCACTCCCTTCTTTAATTAGATTTGGGATTTAATGATGCATCCTTGTTCTGTAATTTATGTACGAGAATATTATCTTGGGCTGCTTGAGTGCTGATTGTGCCAACTGCATTTCATATTTTCTTTGAGCTTCTCGAATTTTTGTTATACACTTGTTCCTTACCGATCTGTGGCGTTCCATCGTACCTGCTGTGCCAAGGCGGATGGTGACATCCCAACATTTCTTCTTTTGTCTTAGTAAACGTCGAATATCCCTGCCTATCCAGGGATGTCCGTGTTTCTTCTTTGGGACTATCCAGGGTATGTATGGTTGAGTTGCCCGGTTGTATAACTGCCTGAAATGCGTCCATGCCTTTTGTACTGATGCCCTTGAGTCAATATCCCAGTTTTCAGCCGATGCCGCGGAGTTGATGGCCTCCATATCTACCTTCCATATGTTAGGACGGGCCGGCGCAACTGTTTGACAGGCAATCTCAGCCACGAATTTGAATAGGATGACTGCGTGATCACTTTTCCCTATCGGTGGGAGGAAAGTCATTTGACCAACGTCATCACCATGTGTGAAGCCTAAATCTCTTCTATAAGAGAGGAGTTTCTTAAGCTATATCTTGTGGGAGTTCTAATGTGTTGGAACAAAGCTAAGGCAATCGAGGTTTCTAACAGTTTGCAATCGAATGGCGTTGTCGATAATCCTACTTCTAAATTAACCCAGTTTATATACGGTGCGTTAAAGTCACCTACTACAAGGCTTTTACCCTTGTTACACGCATTCTAGACTGCGATATACTACAACTAATCCAATATCTTACAGTCTACATTTCAGCCTACATCGCACCAATTCACATGTTCCTGAAACATGTGCTACTGTCTCAGCTACTCTTATGGTTAGGGTACTTTTCGTGTACAGTATAACCCCGCCTCCCCTACGATTTAATCTATCAGCCCTACTGGATAAAAAACCAGACAAGTGAATTTAATTATCTAATACTTCCGGCGTTAACCAAGTTTCTGAGACAGCAATAACATCCGGTTTCTCTTTATCCATAATTGACTTAAGCTCTGCCATTTTATTTAGTAGGCTGCGAGCATTTGTGTAGCATACCTTTAGATCTGTGGTGAACTTTCCCTTACCACCCAGAGTGGTTTTGGGATCGTTTTGCTCCGAACTTTTACAATTTGAAAACCCTTAATAATGAGGTTTCTTTCACCGTCTCGGCGACTTCACTACGATATTTCTATTAGCTTCACTCTTCCATTTAAAGGTGTTCTAATAATGGCTATTGTATCTCCAAAAGCCGCAGAATCTTGATTTATCGTGGATTTGATATTATTTAAAAACGTTGATTAAATTTTCTGAGTCGGATTTATCTAGTGGAGGTTCATGTAGCTTAATAGGTCATCGTGCTGCTTCTGATACTTATGGTATTGGAAAGTAACCTTCTTGAGTATTTAAATTTTTGTCTACCGCTTCCTTATCATGCGAGAAGTCGGTTCTCATAGATCTCTGGTTATGCGCCTTAATTTATTAGTCATTCTTATAAGTGTCCCCTACCTATTTACGATTTTCTTCAATGTTTGTCAATGTATAGAAGATAAATAGTCTTTCTCAGGAGAGTCATAAAACAAATAGTACATGCTCATTTAAATAACTTTAAACTTAACAAACCAATGGTGCACATGGGCTCCAGGTTTGAAGGAACAAATGGCGTATGAACCAATCATTGGTCACCGGCTACCATGGGACTGCATCTCCTTACGATGCTCCACTGCCTTGTGGATCAGACCTTTAGGTCAGAGGCTCGGGGTGTGGCCCTCTAAGAAAACCACCTGCTTCGGTTTGGGCACCCGGGCAGTATCACAACCCTTACACATATCAAATGAAATCTGTGTGGCGCATATATATTTGGTGCCTCCTTGTACCAATATCTATGTTAAAATAAATAAATGAATAACAAACATCAGCTAGTAAATGCACATTAAAAAACAACTGATTCAGACATTTCAATGCTGGTTCATCTACCCCTGATTTCGAGCAAGGAAATACATGGGTTTAAAATGTCAGTTGAAAAATATGACCTGGCTTTAACATACATCAGCCCGAGTCGCTATACAGCCAGAAAAGACTAGGTGAAAACTGAAGTAATATTATAGGCAAGATTAAAATACTCAACATAGGAGATATATTTTAAAAAGGATACTTAGATTCTTGGCTTAAAGCAGCATTTAGGTTCAAGGTTTAAAGGATAAAAATAATTATTTCTGCTCTAGTGCGATGCCTAAGCCTTAAATGAAATTCAGGTCTTTTTGTAAATAATCTCAATCATCGCCTCTATTGGGTTATTGAAGAAAATAAATATTTTCACGTAATGGTCACATAAAAATCAAAATGACCATCATGATTGCTAATTTACACCTGAAAAATATACTAAGAAAATACGTTACTTCAATAAAGGCTCTATTCGAATAATGTAAATCAAATCACAGCTTACAGTAGATTTTTGTCACAGTTGCCCAATTTCTTTTTCAGTTGTGTTGCAGTTACAGTCACAGAATTAGCATTTTCGCGTGGCTTCTCAAAGATCAATCTTCATACTTTTCTAAGACCTTGAATACTTATCTACTCGTAGGTACTGACAAAAGTTTTCTTAATTCCAAGAATTTAGAACTAATTTTTGGTCTAAATAAAGTGTTGATTGAGCGCGTTTGTTAGTTGCCTTGCTCTATGTGCTACCTATATTGTACCTGGGGCATCGAACCTTACACAGCAGTTTGACAATTAGCTTATGAGTTTAACATATCTGAGTGTATTTGGAGAATTTCTTGTTTGAATCGTTTGAGAGTGTAACTGATATCGCCTAAATAAACTTGCGATTAATAACTACTATTTTAATGGTAGATCGAAGTGCTTAAGTTGTTGGTAATGTATAAATCAGGAATAGGTCACAACTAACGTCAAAGTTATGCTCCCTGAAGTCTAAAGCAGTTTTTATTTTATAGAACCCGTCGATCATAGATGTAATTGGTAAATAATAATCCAAATCTGTTTCATTACCAATATGTATACATCAAAAATCGTGATAAACCAAAATTAACTGGTAATTATCAAGATTACGGGTGTGAAGTGTTTACTAGTCAAGGATATAACATTAGTTTTCATTTCTAATAATACTTAAAATGTACTTCGACAAATGTGTATGTAACAATCTAAAAACTGACTATGAAGTATTCAGTTCAAGCATAAAAGGTCAAAACCAAACCAAAAGTTCGAACTACTATATTTGATTATGTTGTTTTTCTATAAGTTTTTGTGCGAGAGAAATATAACAAGAATTGTTTTCCGGTCTTGGATAAGTCTTGTTTACCTTGCAAATTAGGGTGTTTTCGCTGTTCCATCATAAATGTACTTAAATATTTTTCTCTTACTGATTCATGTTAAAGCTTTATTCATTTTGTTCGTTTTTAGCCAAGACAATGAATAAATTGAAAGCAAACAGAATCAAAAGTAGAGGTCCTGCAGATAATGTAATAAAAAATTCATCTAACTTTGGACAAACAGATAAAGAGCTGTATGCAGTACTTATTGCAGACCTTCTATACGATCGCTTCGATCCTCTAAGTGACTACGTTCCCCCTTGTTTGCTTCCATTAAGTAATGTTCCTCTGCTGTATATGACGTTATCTACTCTTGCTTCTGATGGTTTCAGGAACATTCTAATCTACACTATTAAAAGCTACAAAAGCGTCCAAGCATACATAAATCAAACTATTTTAAGTAATTGTTTTCCTGGATTGAAAATTTGTGTACGAAATGTGGAAAATTGTCATAATCTAGGTGATATTATGCGTGATCTTGAGTCAAGTGAATTTCTTTGTGGAGTCTCAGACTTTTTGCTTGCTCCCGCTGATCTGATTTGCGGCATCTCTTTGGCGAAATTTGTTCATAAACATAAGGAACAACGTGAAAAAACACCCAATGCTATACTCACTCTTCTGCTACCCCCTATAACCGAAGCGATAAGTTCAGTTCAAGCTTCTGAACTCAAAGTTAATGTTATATTTTCGCGAACAAACAACAATCGTTTGATCAATCTTTTTCACGAATCTCATCGTGACCTTTCTCCAGTTCTGCTTAGTGACTTGATGAAACCCGGTGAAGTTATCGAGTCTTCTCAGCTGATGGATATTCAACTGAGTATTTGTAGTAACCATATACCACCACTGTTTCAAGTGAGATAGAATGTTTTAAATCTCATTAAGTTCTTTCAAGCATGGGTTCTTAATGTTTTTTTATTAAAAACTGTGTTCGACTACAAAGGACTGTCTGTCCATGGATATGGTTTCAAATGAGATACGTACAGGTTTTTGTACTTTATTCTGTTTACTTTAAGCTGTTTGGCGCTTAGTATTAATTGGGGTGTCATAAATTTTTTATAAAAGCGTCACGTAACATTTTATTATAAGGGTCGTCAGGATTATGAAACGTTCATTTATTTTTCGGGATTTCATTCCAGTCAAATATTTCATTACAACATGAATCTGATTAAAAATGTCATCAATTGAAATGTAAATGAATTATTTGATGAGTTTCAAAAGCGGTTTGAAACAAGTAAGACCAATAGTTGGAGTCGCTTAAATATTTCGTTTGCTGCAATCGTCTACCAAGAAATATCTACTGAAGTGGTCACTTGCCTGCTACCTTCATCGTTTTTACTTATTCAAAGAAATGTCAATATGCAATGTGAGTTGGTCTACGACAATTATTATGGAAGCTAAGATCCACGTACATTGTAGATTTATTTCTTTTAAAAAAAAATTAAGTTAATAGTAAAACTTGAAATTACTTGTTTTGTTTTCGAATTTTGTGCGCATCTTCTTGTTCTCAGCTCACTATGTGTGATCTTCAAAAATGTGAACTTGCAAATGTAATTATCTGATTGCCAAGATTGTTTAATTCCATTGTAGTATACTCACTCATTGTATAAGAGATCTATTCTTGGTTTAATATAATAAAATCCGAATTCTTATTAATTTCTCACTAGCAATTAATAGGCTATTAAGGAAGGACACCATATCTGAACATTCCTGCGCTTTACATCTTAAGTTTATATGGGACCAGTAATAAGCACTGTGATAAAATTCTTAAAACATTCTAATTAAGAACAAATCATTGACTTGCCTTGGAAACAAATTTAAAACTCTACTTGTTGACTATATTCATTTTATATTTTCATATCAGTTGGTTTTTGACTCATTTCAAGCCCGACAACATTTCATTATAATTCGCTTTCACAAACTCAATTGGATAATCATTTATCGTATGATGTTTCCTCTTCCATTAATTGCTTTTGATCAATTATTAATAATGCAATTATAAGCCACAAAACTTACCAAGTGATATTTATGCTTCCTTTTTGAGACTTAGTTTAAATTTCAACTTCTTAATCGCTTTCCAATCCATTCATTTTACAAACATTAATCTCCAGATTTCATAATATTCATGTATGTAGAGAATTCATATTAATCCTCTGCAAATTTTATGAATTCAGTTAGTTATACTGTGAATGTACTGATATCTTCAAATTTTATGACATAGCTGTTTTCACACTTTTGCAATGTTTCTGCATTGAAATGGTGGGAAGAACACATTTATCGAATGAGTGACCTACAAAACCGGTTCCCTACAGCTGTGTGTGTTCTAGGTCATAAATTATATTTGTTTTGTGTCAATACTTTATATGTGTGTCATTTCACCAGGAAAAATTAAATTATTTGCTCATCAGTCATGGAGTTTGTTAGTATCTGTTCATTTTGAGGTTTGAGTCAATAATTCGCTCTTCTGTTCATTTACCAATCAGTCAGTCAGCTACAACGTAGGACCATTAAATTTCTCAACATTACAAACAAAACATGTTCATAGCGAGCCCGAAATCTTATGCCATAACATGCACATACTTTCTGTAGTGTTTTTTCATTTGTTTATTTGTTTGTTTAAATCGAATTGCAGTTATCGTTAAATTTGTTTAAGGGTTGGGATATCATCCGGGGTGCTCAAACCAAAGCAGGTGGTCTTCTTAGGGGACTACTCTCCGAGCCTTTAACACATAGGTCTAGTCCACAAGGCAATAGAGCAACCTTAGGAGATACTGTTCCATAGTAGCCGGTCATCAGCAATGAGTCCATACGTCACTTTTTATCTCAGGATCTTAGAACCTATGTGTACCATTGATTAGGAGTCAGGGTTTTCCAAATCTTCTAGGTGGATGTCCTGTACCCACCAACCCGGTCTAAGCGCCGAATATCAGAGAAGTCAGCGACAGTTAGTTGGACACTGGCAGTACGGCTATATATTTTATATATATTAGTCTTCCAAATAGTTGTTATTGTCTTGTACAAACTACCTTTAGAATTAAACGTGCTTCCGTGCGTTTATAATATTTGACAAATGTTCAGGCAAGTTTCTTTTTTTAGAAAAAAACTTTCATCTGACTGCCTTCTTCGGGCTGCTTATATTATCAAAGATAATTTCTGTAAATTTACAGAAGCATTCCTTTTGTTCTAAAATGAATATGTAATGTAATTCAGTTCATTTTTGAAGACTATACAATAGTATTTAAGTAAGTTGTTTTCTATCTATACTGTGTTACAGTCAGTAATACTGTCCGTCAAAATTTTTTGGCGAAACTGCGTTCAACATGAGTTTCTGAGTTAAATGTATTTATGAATGAAGGTCGTAAGTTGCGGTACTCAAATTATATTTCGTAATCTAAATTCACATAAATCTCTGAAAGAAAGTACCACTAACTATTGCGTGACATATCTATCTTGTGAATTAGCGATTGGTCATAAGATTATTTTATTTTATTTGAACACAAATATCGGTACAATGGGGCACCAAATATATATGCGTAATAAGATTACATTCGTTGTGTCAGATGTAGTAAATTGTTTATTCCGAAACCGGGTCACTCGTGTACCTGCCTTAATCAAATCTAACCCTAGATGTGAATGAAAATGGAAACAGTGTTATGCTGTTATAAAGCTACATAAAGTTCTTATTTCTCTATAATATAAGACGCTTGTTATAAGATTTGAAGGTATATGAGCCATCTTGTTGGTTCTGTTTCATAAGCCACTCACGTTTCTTCAGGTTTTCAGGCTTTCCTATAAATATTATGATTCATATTCTGATGCATGACATTATGAATTGTTAAGTAAAGTAAATTGCCATCATAGCATACAAATTGTTTGTAAGCAATATACCTGTATTGTTCATGTCTAGTATGTTTACTATCCACTTATTGAATTTATTTTCCATCTTCCCCTCTCTTCCTCAGGATAATTTTGACTATGAAACTATGGATGATCTTGTAAATGGAGTATTAACGAATGAAGAAATTATGGAATATACCATACATGTTGAACCTCTACCAAAAGGACCGATTGTGCTTCAGGCTGCTCCTGATCTTAGTAGTTTAATTGACCTAAACTTTAAACTTCTGTCTCGACAAGGAGGATTTCATTTGTCGCTGCCACCTTTGTACGCCAATCTATCAGGCTCCGAAATTGTAGCAGTTGGTCCACAAGTTTTTGTGGCTAAGTCGGCGAAAGTTCACCATAAAGCCAGAATAATTGGAGCATGCTTTATTGGATCTGGGTGCGAGGTGTCGGCGTTTGCTTGCTTAATTGACTGTTCTCTTGGGGGGAATTGTTTTGTAGGTGAAAACGCTTGTTTACGGCGTGTTATCGCTTTGGAGAACGTTCATATTTCTAGCCATGTAAAGGCAGACGTAGCTTGGTTGTGTTCCGGTGTTCGTATACTTTCTGGATTTAAACTTCCTAACTGCTGTTTCATAGGCCCATCATCAACCGCAGCTGTAACATTGGGTCCAGGATGTGGTAACTTGCCAAGTAACAGCGTTTTGGTCGCCCCTCGTACAGGTGATTTAGTTATAGACCCTTTAGTTGGTGGTGAACAAGCCTGGGCTGCGTATTATAAAAAAAGGCAACCTTCAGGGACAGTAAGCTCTAATTTCTTGTTTGCCAACTATATATATATATATATATATATATATATATATATATATATATATATATATATATATATATATATATAGTTTTAAAAGAAATAAATCTACAATGTACGTGGATCTTAGCTTCCATAATAATTGTCGTAGACCAACTCACATTGCATATTGACATTTCTTTAAATAATTAAAAACGATGAAGGTAGTAGGCAAGTGGAAAGAAGAACAATTATTAAATAATGTCTATCAATATTTAGAGTTATAGAGGTGTCAGTCCTGTCTTATCCATTAAAATCGGTTCCAAGCTCATCATGTAGATTAATGCTGCGCGCTAATTCATTCTTCATCATCAGAGTTATTCGTCTGGCTTAATATTTCCGTCTTACGGATTCCAACAGACTAATTTACCAGCGTTTTTATACAGAACGATGATGTAGTTTAAATATAATCAACTTGTTGATGATGGATTATGTATTAATTTTAAGCAACAGTTCTTAGGTCTACATATAACCGTAATCTGGGCGTATAAAATTCTCTAAAAAATATGATTTTAGATATTCTTTGAAGTTACACTTCGCGTCAAGTTGATAGGCATTAAATGAATAAGTAGTTTATTTTATTGAAATCATGAACTGATCAATGTTAGACCGCAATTGAAAACCTGGAAGCATTGGATGGCCGTTTCGTCCTAATATGAGACTCCTCAGCAGTGCCGGTTCAGTGGTTTAGAAGTTAGGCGTTTGCCCGCGAGACCGATGGTCTTGGGTTCAAATCTGGCGTGTGGGGTCGTGGATGCATACTGCGGGGGAGTCTCTCATACTAGGGCGAAACGGCCGTCCAGCGCTTCTAGTTTTTTACTGGTGGTCTTACATTGATAGGTTCGTAATTTCAGTGAACTTCAACAATCTCTATAACCTCAAAATGAAAGTTATTTTATCTCAATAAATAGTACGCACGTATGTGGATGTAAATTATTGGTTTTAATTTGCTAAATTGATATTCGTCTTCCATGAAACCTCTTACTCAATACCATTACAAATGGACTTTAAAAATACCACTTCACGTTTACGAACACAGATCCTTTTCATAATAAAATCATTGTAAAATTATAGCTTAAATCATAAGTCACAGTAACAATGCGAGTTAATTTATTTGGTTGCACTAGTAGATCCATTAATTCCAATGACATATGAAGTATTTGTACCTTTACAGAAGGCTTCTGTATTTTAAAATTACCAGGATAATAAAAAGGTAGATGGATCTATAAAACGTATTTAGTAATTACTCACTATTTGTTTGTTTATTGTAATGATAACTTAGTGGCTGAAATTCAACTCTGAACCAGTAGTTTAGAGCTTCTAGTCTCCTGAATAGTTTGTCATGTTTACTAGTCTTTATATATTCAGTGTTGCTCAATGCCAAGCACCATCTTTGCTTGCACTTAGTTGCTTTAGATACTTTAATTTATGTATTATGTATAATATATATATATTTTTTATCTCAGAGCGATTCTGTGGATAATCTTTCCGAGGAGGATACACAATCCGACCAAGTGTATTTGACAAATGATGAATTTACAAATTGTCACTTGTGGGAAACGGCCTGGGACAGAATTAAAAATGCAGCTAAAACACGTCGGCAGAGAATGAACCAAAAGTCTAGTCATAGCCGAACTAGTGATATTCGTTGTAGCAAATCCAGCAAGCCTCGCCGTATGGTAAGTGAGATAGATGACAGTGATGGAGATTTGGAACATCAATTAAAAGATGCATCAAAAACTGAAAGTGATGGCGATGATGAACAGTCAGAAAGCTTCATAATTACTGAGTTGAAACGAACTTTGGAACGAGGTGAACGACATAAGTATCCGGCTGAAACACTTATACTTGAAGTTAATTCTTTAAAACATGCTTATAATGTACCTATTGAAGATTTCGGATTCTTATTGACAAAAGCCTTACTGGAGCTAACTCGTGATCATTTATCTTCGAAATCACAAAATGAATTCAGTAAAGCTGATATAACAGAATTCATCATTAATCTTCGTAAACTCCTATTAAGCTTTAATACTGTCCTGTCATCATGTATGTCAGGATTTCAAAATACTGGCCGAGTTTATCTTCAAGCCGTTGAAGATGCAGCATGCTATGATTCATTAATATTCGCTTCTGCTATGTCTATTATTCACACTATGTATGACAATGATTTGGTTTTAGAAGATGATATATGGTGGTGGAAAGATAATTCTCCACTTTTACTTGATGATGATATTTCTGAGAATACTCGATCATTAAGAGAAAAAGTCAAACCTTTCTTTGATTGGCTTGAACAGGCGGAAGAAGAAGATGACGATGATAAGTAATGACACGTTTATAACTTTATACAATACTTTTTCTTCACTTTATGTGTTATTTGCATTGTACGTATGATAAAAACAAGTGTTAAAAAATGTGGTTTAATCTGTCGCCATTCCATGTACATATTATCCTTTTTACTGACTTCAATTTCAATATCATCTAGTGAAACATCTGCTGTGATAGGAGTTTGCTTTATAAATATTTTCTTTGGTAGGTGGGATGGATGAATTTTTTAGTATTCAGTAGGTTGGTAACTTAGAGTATTGCTAGTTTATAACATTGTTGTATTTACGAGTTTCAAGTTTTCTGTGTTGGTGTGTAATACGAGTAATAGCGATTTTGTTACTGTTACACTGTATTAACGACTAGTGGGTGACTAACGACACAATTATATCAGTTATATGATATATATATATATTCTGATAAAACTCCTGATATTTGTTCGTTTAGGTTAATCGATAATTTTGAACTAGTTCGAATCATTTTCAATGTATTTTTAATTAGTTATGGACCAATAGATACTAGAATCTTTCCTGTGTATCGTCTTGGGATCAGAACTATTTTTGAATATATTGAACTCATTTTCTAGCTTCCATCATATTTGTAGTGATTTTAGCGTGAAATAACGTATAGGAAATTAGCTTCAATAAATCGTATACAGAATTGTCTTTAGGAAGTCAACCATTTTGACAAACAACAGTAGCAGCCCTCACCACTTTTCTAATAGCCTACTTTCACCTAGAGATTTGTGAGCTCTGTTTCAGGCTGATTGTTTAATGTGGCATACCATACCAATTTCACTAGTAGGAACCAAAGTATTATCAATAACTTATGAGGTTTCACTGGAGACTTCTGATCATATCGAAGGATTCGTCTGAATTCCTGTTTTTCTGAAGCCCTATATTTATGTGGCTACTGGTGCATAGTTTAATTTGGTCGGCCTGTTTTTAGCAAGAAAGGATTTCTCAAGACCGTGCTGGATAGAGAATGCTGATGGGTGGCCTATACTCCACCACGAGGGGTAACAGGTGTAAGTCAGTTGCATAGTTAAACAATGCAATAACAACTGTAGTATTTTGTAACAATAGTAATCCTTCATGTTTACATTCGATCACCACGACCAAATATAAAAGCTGCTTATAGGCTAACACGTTTTATGGACGTAGTAGAACGAGTCTGTACCGTACAAAATTTGTTCAAAAACCAAGAATATTAATGGATACATTCAAAGAGTGTCACTAATTTAACGATGTCAATGAGTTCTTTTAATAAAAATAATATATCTGTAATATCCCAATAAGTAGAAAAAATAAATTTTCTGGCGTTTCGTGACTCAATGTAAGCCGCTTCTTCAGAGAATAAATAGTCAAATTAAATCAACGCAAGTTTAAGTAGTACAGAGAAACAAACAAGAATATTTATTGCGACCAATCAAATCCAGGTCTGTTGTGTTATTCTGGTCAAGGTTATTTATGTGAGGCATGTTTGTATATTTGCGTATAGGTCAAGGGATGAAAAAGTATAACATTTGTGGTGCGAAAGGATTTGGTTGAGTTTGTATGTCTGATAATGATGTGAGATGTGAATAGAATCAGACATGGTAGCTCGGATAGGCGGTCCAAGTCTGGTGGATAGTGATGCCTTCTTTTCTATTGGGGGTGGTAGGGCTAAGCAAATATGGAAAGCTTCAGCTACTCGTCTTTGTGGTTGAAATAGCCTTTTTGTATCTATTTTAATGTTTCTAATATCGACTTGGTGGTTATTGAAAGTGGCGTAGACTGCTATTGTAGATTTAATTTGGAGTCTTTCCAGTTTTATGGGATCATTAGGCGGTATTTTGTGTAGCTGTGACATTCTTTGGTTCGAGTCAAGATTTCACGTGACCCTCCAATAAAAAAGGCATCACAATCGACACATCCTAATATGTAGATATAATCCTGTGTTAACATAAAGTGGTTTTTTTATGCTAACGAAAGCATTGTTTTGTAATATATTTTAATGATGTGTTCTTTGGTCATTGAGATTGTGGTTACAATTCTGCAAGCAACGGTTAAAATATAAATGAACTTAACCACCTGAAATTTCTTACATATCGGATGTGACAATCATATCAACACTGTAGGTTAATTTTTAAATCTTGCTTGACTTTGAAGCCTATTGAAACAACCAAGCTTGATGCACCAATTAGGCAAATTAACCAAATGTAATATTAAATATAAATGAATTTCTGTAATCATCCATGTTATCGTCTTCGTAGGCTCATTAGCGGGATTTTTAAAAGCGAAATGAAAGTGGTCCATACTGATTCGACAATTACAAATTCCTAAGCTTGGGGATTCGTAATAACAATTGCTTTCATGTCCATCATTTTTGCACAAACCATGTAAATAGGATCTCGAAATGTTGATTTTTACTATTAAATAAATTTATCTTGTGTGAACTCATAAAGCTCATTAAAAACGGTAGATATTGATTTTAGCTAAATAAACATATCTGGAGTCGAACAAAGTTAAAAGACTTCCGGTTTCTGGAAAAACACTCAGTGGTTTGTGTTTCCATACTAGAACAAAACACATCTGTACTTTTAGGTTTCAAATTATGGTCTACCTGAAAAGTTTGCTAATCGTATTAATTGTTTCATAAAAGTGTTTTACAACTTTTACAAATGAAACAGTCGAGGAGAATTTGTTTACTGAAATTCTTGTTTTCTTTCTACATATGCCTCAGGTTATGTTATAAAGTTAAGGGGGATAATTTCGAACCTAGAAATTGAAATACAATTATTCACGTTCTTTAAGAGCTTAGCAAATTTTCATAACCCCTCTTCAAGTTAACGATTGAAATATTGTCGCTATACGTTTGAAACAATGTTTTGCTTTACACAACGGGCTGTAAGTTTTCATCGTGGGAACATGAATAAGCGTCCCAGATACTTCAACATTCAGTTTAACCAACACAAATACAACCTAATGATACGCATGGTAAAGGAACAGCAAGATCTGGAATCTGTAGGTAGGTACCATGAAACAATTATTCTATTGGATATTCAAAATTGAAATTTGTCTGCAAAGAATAAAGTAAGTGGATGCTTTGAACTATGAACTAAAATCTTCGTAGAACACCCAGCCGTCAAAAGATTCAAATTAACTTCTATGAAGACAGCATTATTCTATGCAAAGGGAGTGGTGGCAACAATAAGTACAACAAAATCAGTTGGGATGCTCATACTACTTAATTAAAGCAAGTAGAATAAAGCGTATGAAAAAATCTATTTAGATGACTTTGTCGGTCATATATACGGTTGTCTTAAAACAAGCTTGTAGTGACCAAATGACTTCAGTAACTTTTGAGATGTGATTTTATGTAGTCAGGAAATATTCAATCACAAATCAAAATAATTTTCGGTCTGGTGATCGTTAGCATTTCTCAAATGTCAATATTTAGTCCTAACTTGGGTATACTACCACGTTTTATTATTATTATTATTATTATTATTATTATTATTATATGTCCAATGAAAGTAAAACTATTCATGGATTGAATAAGCTTTTTCGAATATCTTGGTAATACTATTATTCTCACTAAAGGTTTCATGGGTTCATTTCTATTTAATCTGAGGACTTTCTGTGTATTTGAACGTTATTTCATCTATGCATTGGTCGTAATATATTACTTTATGCAGTTTGTAAATGATTTTAAAATAAGAACTACCAAGTGATTGTTTCAATAAAGTCGACAGCCCAATTTGTATACAATAGTGTCAGTGAGATAGTATTTTTAACCTGTGCTAATATTATGTTAACCTCTTACATTATGGTGTTTGTGACCTAGTAACTGCTCATACTACATCATCCTATAGCAGCATTAACTTTTTTCTACTGATGTCATATATATCACAAAGTTTTAGCCTTAATGGTAGTGATTTCCACATCATTTAGTCGTTTTATTTCGAAATTTCGTTCCTAATTATTTCTCATTCAAGCGTTATTTCAACAGATGACAATCAAATTTTATTCATTTATTCTATTTTTAAGGTTGGTTCATTAAACCAAGTGAGGAGTCGTTTGCTATCTAATTTTGCGAAATGTACCCGCAATTTATGATGTTGGTTGCGGTTACATTTAATCAAATACTCATTACTAGGATAGTTATCTGTTGACAAATGGCTTCTTTCAAAACATTCAACATTGTAAACACAAACGGCTGGATTATGATCTTTTTTTCTAGGAATAAATGGGTGTAAACAGCATATGGAAATCCATAATATCAATGTAGTTACAAATAAAACGTATATTATATCTAAGAGATTCTCTTTGTCATCAGTTAAAATGTATTATAACTACGTGCGTGAATCATGAAAATTCACTAATTTTTTGTGCAAATAAAATACTACTATGAACAATGGATATATAAGAGTAAGCCTGTGAAATATGTAGATATCATCGATAATAAATATAACTACAATTACTCATAATCTTTGAATATTTTTCCTAATAAGGATGAAACTAAGTTATCTAATAAAGTGATAAAACATTTTACTTAATAACAATCCCATGCTGATTTTCTTGTAGTGAACGAGAAAACCAGTAGGGACAACCAAATGCATTCGAATACAACATGACAGAATGTCTTGATAAAATCTGAGAATCATGCAATAAATACTTCGTTTGCAAAATGTCAATCACTTGTCTCAAACTTGATTGTTTCTTCGTTTCCACACCAATCACTCTCTATTCTCGTTCACTCCTCTGCCACCAGGCATTTCACTATTGATTGGTAGTGTATACTACTTCTGTCTGTTGAGATCAGTGGCTCATACCACGCTCTCATTATATCAATGAATTTATTCAAAGCAGCAAAGCGGAACTAAAATTAATTCTAGAATTTGATGAATTTCGAAATCAATTTTTTAATCTTATTAATTTGTTCATTTTAATCACGATGATTCAAGAACTGAGGAACAGATGGGCAAAATACTTTGAGGAACTGTTGAGTAGACCAGCTCAATTGAGTCCACTGGACATTGAAGCAGCCCATACAGACCTTCCTATATATTTCAGTCCACCAACGATCGAAGAAATCAGGATGTCCATCAGACAAATCAAGAGTGGGAAAGCAACAGGAACTGACAATATACCAGCTGAAACACTGAAGTCAGACATTGAAGTAACTGAAACATGCTTCGCCTTCTATTCAAAAAAATTTAGGAGGGGGAACAAGTGCCGATGGACTGGAAAGAAGGACACCTCATCAAGATACCAAAGGAAGGAGACCTGAGAAAATGCGAGAACTACAGAGGCATCACACTACTGTCAGTACCAAGAAAACGTTTTCAACAGAGTGTTGCTGAAGCGGATGAAAGACGCAGTAGACGCCCAACTTCGGGA